CGTTCGGGCTTACCCACGCTGTGTTCTAGGCTCCCAGCAGTCACAGTCACGTGGCCAGGGGCGGGGTGTTGGCAGTATTCCATAGGCCAAGGCAGGAGGGGTGGACACTCTGGAAGAGGAGCATCTGCCCTCAGAGTGCCACTCAGCTTCCTCCCATCCATCTTTGACCCCAAGGTCTCACAGCATACGTGTCAGACGACGTCCTTCCCAGACGGAACCCCTCCCATTGCTGTCGGAATGAAGCCCAAACTTCTTCGCCTGCTATTGGAGGCCCGATGGGGTCGCTATGAGTCAGAATCAACTCTGTGGCAGTGCGTTTGGTATTGGGGTTTTTCAGTATCTGACCTCCTACGACCTCCATGGCCCCGCCCCCTCCTCCGACTGGCCTTCGCTCTCCTCCTGGCAGACGACCTGCGGTTCCCCTAAACGTTGTGCCCTGAATGCACACACCTCTGGGGCTTCCCCCAAGTTGGGCCCTCCACCAAGAATACTAACGACTTCTCGAGTCCCAACTCAGATCTTGCCCTTTGGGAGCTGGTCCTGAATTCCCTACCACCCCCAGGCAGGATACGCACGCCCACGGACCTCGGCATCCCCTTCATGAGAATGGGAGCTGGGACCCCATCCTGTACCATTTGACCCCTCCGCCTGGCACGTCAGCCCCACTGTGTGTAAAATGAAAGAGCAGATGCAGCACGCAGGGCTTTGGAATGCACTGCAGACAGACACCCACATCAGGGAAGAAGGGGAAGTGCCAGCCGCTCTTGCTGCCCCTGTTGTTTCCCTCTCTCAGGAACATATGGGGAGCCCTGGTGGCGTAGTGGTGGTTGTGCATTTGGGCTCTAACCACAAGGTCAGCAGTTAGAAATCACCAGCCAGCTCAAAGGGTGAAAGACCATACGTTTTACTCCCGTGAAGAGTTGTACGCTCGGAAGCCCACAGGGGCAGTTCTGCCCTGTCCTGTAGAGTCACTAGGAGTCAGAACTGACTCAATGGCAGTGAATTTGGTTTGCTTTAAGGTACATAGTTCTAAGAAGAGCTTCTGACTTCAGAAGGGACAAGGATGAGAAAAACCATGTCAGAAAGGATCGTAGATGACTTTGAAATTTTTAGTTAACAAATAGCACCGGCGTACTAAGAATATCGTCTGGTTTTAGCTCCCTTTTACTAATCAGGTGACCTTCTGCTAGTGCCTCGCGGTCTCAGGGAGAGAACACCTCCTGGCTCATGAGAAACACCCCATAGTGAGTTCTGAGATCTTGTTTCCCAAGCACTGTTTCCTGCCACACTCACTGGGAATTCACCTTTCTCTTCCTGGTGGGAAGGCGTCCCCATTGTGCATCCTCGCGTCTGGATATACTCAGAATTTAGGGGCACAACCCACTTCCAGGCCCTCAGTGTCTGGTTCCCTTGGAACTGGCCCATTCTTGGTTGCTTGTGCGACGTTGTGTTTGTATCTCTCCGGTTGTGCAGAGGAGCTCTGGTGGTGTAGTGGTTATGCGTTGGACTGTGCTCCCCGTGATTGGCAGTTACTCCTGTAAACAGTTACAGTCTCAGAAACCCGCAGGGAGTTGCTATGAGTCAGCATTGACTTCATGACAGGAAGTGAGATCCAGTTGTGTCAGAACATTCTGGACCACCTTACCCTCTCGGTGTCTTTAAATCCTCTGGTTTACTCCGCTGAGCCTCAAGGTTGGCTATGGATCAGAGGCTGCTCTCCTCCCAAAGTCACCCACAGAAGAATCAACACTGGATGGTTCTCTGCTGGTGGAAGGAACATCAAGTTAGTTACAGAATCCAGAGAACTGACAAGTGTTGAGTTCCTACTATGTGCCGGGAAGTGTAACACACAAATTATGTGCTGAATGCCTATAAGGTATCAAGTCCTATACCCGACCCCAAGATCAAGAGAGAAATGGGACAAATAAGTCTATCGTTGCAATCCATACTACGTGCTGAGAAGGAAGAGCACTTGGCAGACTTGAATGTGCAGTGGCAGAGCTGTGACTCACCATGCTCAGGCAAGGGGGACCTCCCAGCAGAAGGGGTGCTGGAGTCAGATCATTTAGAAGGATACGTGGAGCTTCTCAGGGTAAGACAAAAGGAAACAGAGCAGGAAAAGCATGAGCCATGAGCAAGTAGTTGAGTATGTGGACCCTGCCCGTCCTGCAGAGATGGGCAGGCCCAGAACCTGGGATGCTTCTGGCAGGATGTTTTTTAATTGAGGTGAAATCCACATCCCATGAAATTTAACCACATTCGAAGTATGTCATCCAGTGGCATTTAGTATATTCACTGTGTTTACAACCACTACCTCAATCTGGTTCTGAAACATCATCGTTCCCACATTGGACCGCATACCCATGAAGCAGTGGCAGCCTCTCTCTGGCCCTGGCCACTACCAGCTTGCATCTGTCTCTCTGGATTTACCTACTCTGGGCATTTTCTATCAAGGGAATCATACAGCGTGTGACCCCTTCTCTCTGGCTTCGTTAGCACCAGGCAGTATTTCCCAGGGGTTATTAATGGGTGTTATAAGAAGAGAGTCCATGTCCACATAAATTTGAGAGAAAGGCTTTTGTAAACCAAGGTAACGGGTATTGTAACAGGCTTTTGAGTTTCTTGTTCTGCCTCGTGTTTTATTTCAAGTCTCGGCAGCATTTGTGGTGCTAACAGCCTTTGGGGGTCCTCAAAAGGACCAAGACAGTCCACAGCTTTCCCCAGACTTTCCAGCCTTTTCCCCTTGGAGGATTCATCTCCAAGATGGTTTTCTCTGGAGGCCTTGTGAAATGCTGGCCTGGTTGGGCATCTTTGTTAAGTCCATCAGGAACAAGGGTAGAAGGTGGAGTGGGAGGGCGCAGATGCTGAAGGTAGGGAAACCTGCCGTTGCTGCTGCGGCAAGGTGCCGCCAAGATTTTCAACCCAGTATTAACAGAGCAGAACTGCCCCAGAGGGTTTTCTGAGGCACTCTGATGGAGCTGTCGGGTGAGCACGTAGCCATGGTAATCTCTACAGGGGCTCCAGGTCTTGCTCGCATGGGGCTACTGGGGAGATCCCCATCACTCAGCAGTGAGTGCTCACCCACTGCTGTGCCACCGGGGCTCCATGAGGATGATAGTTCCTAACGTCTATTGTCCAACATTGTCTGGACACAGCTCCTTAGATGTATTCCCAGCAGCCTCTCCAGTAGGGGGTGTGGCCACCTGTACTTTGCCTATGAGTCCCTCACCCGTAGTAAGAGGGAACTAACTGAGAGCCAAGACTTTTGGACCCCAGAGGCCGCCACACTGAGCAGCTGCCACACGGTTGCCCAGCCCAGCAGGTCTGGACAGGTTCCATGTCACAGAAGAGGCAGCTGAACTCTGAGGCAGGGCAGTGAGGCGGGAGAAGTTGCCCCAGTGGAGAGGACAAGCACGAGAGAAGCAGAGAGGCGGTCAGTCGGGGGTGGCATGTGAGAGAGCGGGATCTGGAGCTAACTCACGCCTCAGGGGTTGGGGATTTGAACCTCCGGCCTTGGGTTTACGGCCCAATGCTTGTCCCTAGCTCCTTTTAATGTGCCACGGGAAGGGGGGGCAATTTCCCACCGAGTGTGCGTAGGTCACTCTGACAGACCCTCTACTGGGCCCCACGCCTCCAGGGACCACTGAGGCACAGCTCCACCCTCCTGCGGTCAGCTGTAGAATACGAGCTGTAAGCAGGTTTGACATCAAAATATGACTCTTTCCAAGTGAACTTCCAATTGGCACCATCCAGGAAGAAAAGAAACAGGTGAAATCAATTTTAAAATAGTTTCTATGACCCAATATATCCCAAATACAACACTTGTATCCATAAATGTTCAAAGAGTCATTTGAACTCGAATGAACATTAAAAACTTGCCAATGAGCTTTCTAACGTTTGGTTTTCATACGAAGTCTCTGAGCACCAGTATGCATTTCACACATACAGCATCGTAGGTCAGACTGCCTGCTGGCCCATGTTGGGTAGTGCAGCTCTGGCCCTGGTGGAAAATCGGCGGGCCAACCAAGTGGTGGGGTAGCAAAGAGCCAACTGGATGCCTCCCAGGGATGGCATTCGTGGGTTTAGTGTGGATTTTGACCATCCTCACCTGGCCGACCCATCTCCCACACCTGCTCCGGGTATCTAGGTGGGCAGCCTGTTTGAAAGGGGTAGCCTGGCTTGAGGATCAAGCCAAGAAGTCCTTGGGTCTTGACTCCAACTCTGGACTTCAGAAACCACGCGCTCTGTGCATCTCCTCACCAGACCTTTCTGAGGCCGTATATGTCTGCAAGCCTCGTGCAAAGTCCTGCAGACACACTGATGGGTCCTGCTGGGAACTGGAGTGTTCAAATGTTGTGGGGAGGGGATGGTCCCACAGGGCAGTGGGGCCACTGGAGGCAGCACCTCCTGGGCACGGGGCAGTGGAGGCTTCCTGAGGCCACATCTCCCAGCACAGCATCGAAGGGCAAGCACACACATACACACACACACACACCCCACCACCCCCAGACAGTTCAGGATGAGCTACATCACTGCATCTGTGGGCACCAGCGCCAGGGCTGTTTAAGGGTCTGCCTGGGGTGGACCTGGGAAAGGTCGGAAGGCTCTGTGTAGGGGATGGGAGGAGGGGGAGGTACATAGGACCCAGGTCGTAGAGAACTTGGAAAGCTATCACCCAGGGACAGAAGAGGGCATGGTCAATGTCTGACTTTAGAGAGAGTCCCCTGGGCCTATGTGAAGAATGGCCTGGAGTTTGAGACCAGGTCAGGGACTCCTGCAGGGGCGACTGCCGTCATCTAGACCAGAAACCAGGCCAGAACCGGAGAATCGGAAGAGGGGACAGACCCTGCCTGTGGCCAGTGCACTGTGGGGGGCGGGGAGGCCTGGAGGAGGCCCTCTGGCTCTGGCTTGGCCGGCCGACGGCTTTTCCCCATGCATGTGTGGAAATGGGTCCCCCATCTCAGCGTGTACTGATGTCTAAAGTTTCCGCTTTAATGCAGCCACACAGACTGCTTCCCACCCGACCACCGCCTCCCAAGATACAGCGCTCGTCAAGGCCCGTGAGTAGCCGGAGGTCCCGCTCCTCCCCCTAACACTGCCTGAGCCACTGCCCGCAGCCTGACTAAAACCTTGCCAACGGAAAAGCGGGGGTTTGGGTTTGCCAGCTTCCCTCTCTGCGGGGCATGAACCTGAACTTGCATTCTCCTGGGCCCTCTCCCTCCGTTCTCCTAGCAAGTTCAGCCCACTTGCAGGTCCGAGGTGTAGGTAGCCAGGGAGCCTCCATGTGGTGTGTTTGCCAAGTGTCCATCCATTGAGCAAATCTCATAGACGGGTCCATATTTCTAGCCAATGAGCTCTAAAGCCTAACTCTAAACGCCTCTCCCTCAAAAGGTTGCAGGAGTCTGGCAGCAAGGGTCTCATTCCTGCTAGATCTTGGTTTGGAGATGCATTTGATGTACCTTCCCAAGGGCGGAGACAACGCCCAGAGAATATGCAGCGAGCCCCCCTCCCCCCAACAGAGGCAGGTGCTCCTCTTCTGGGCCTCACATGGAGCCCCACCTACCCCTATCCTGTCAAGAGCACAGCATGGGTAGAAAAACAGGCAGTCCCCAACCCGACCCTGGAATGGGGCGCAGGAGGGCAACCCCTGCGTATACAAAGACGAATGTGGTGGACCACTGTTGGGGTGGGCCCCATACTCGGTACTGGCGAAGTCATTTTCTTTCCCGTAAGATCAGACTTTTTGGCAGCGCTGAGGTCTGATGACTTTAGCAGGTGCCTTTCAGACAGGAAGCCAGCCAGGCCCCTTGAGGTGACGGCTGTTTCCCAAGAGAAGAGTTTCTAAGTCCATTGTTCATGGCAGCCACCACCCCCGCAGCCAAGCACTAGAGTCCAGGGCTCCTGTCCAGCTGTGGTCAGGGTTCCCTACAAACTGGTGCCCCCGCCCCCTCACAAGGGTCCAGATCCATCTTGTAAAGCGTAGGGAGGTCCAGGTGGGCTGTAGCCGTTCTGGACTGCGAGTGTGTTTCTAACCCCCAGTGCATGCACCAGCGTGGATGGGGTGGTGGTTCCTCTCTGCCTGGTGTGGACATTGTATGACAATTCTTTCTGCCTTTCCTACTGTATTGGGGCCAGTGGGGGCTTTCGGAAAGCTGTGTGCGGTACCCCTTCTCCATGGAACCTTGTGTGACTGTAAGAGACACCAGACAGGGATTAGCAGCGTGGATTTGGGAGCAGAGGGAGGTAGGCTGGAATCTATACTCCACTGGTCCCCATTTGTGGAGCCCATGACTTCCGGCAGGTACCCGCGCTCTCCCTCTTCCCTCTGTAGCATCCCTTCACTCATAGCACGAACACCCATAAGAGTATCCCATACAGGGCCTGACACAAACAGCTTTTTAAAAAAAACTGCAATCTGTAAGGAATGATCCACTTTATTAATAACTAAGATTCATCTAAGGTTGTACCAGTGGCGAATCGTTCATAGGGACATCATCTCAGTGGCATTGAAGGGGCCTGTTTTACATAGAGATGCCATCATCATCAAGGAAACTCGTGCTCAGGAACTTCACCCAAGTCCCTCAGCTGGCAAGTGGGTCAGCCAGACTCCAGAACTCATGTTCTCTCCAGAACACTGCACTTCCTGGTGCCCCTACTCTCATGCAAGAAGAGGTAGATATGGGGCTGAACCCTCAGTGGAGGGGGAAGAGTCGGCAGCAGCTGTCCAGGCTCCCCACAAAGTCTCTGGAACAGGGTTCTCTTCCAGCAGGGAGACTATTCACACTTATTCAGCCTCCTTTAGGTGCCAAGGACTGTGCTAAACCCTCCCGTCATTGTTATCTATCTTGACAACCGCTGGGAGCCAAGACCACAGAGAAAATACCAGGCTTTGGGCCCAGGCCTGCCACTCTCTCTCTCCATTGCCTTGTTCCTCGCCAGGCCACCTTCCCTTAAGCCAGTGTTATCCAAGGGGCCCTCTCAGAATTCCGTCTAAAGACCTAGGACCTGAATCAGGCAAAGAATCTCTTGGGAAGCATGAATCAGGTCTGGATTACTCTCCTTGGATAAACTTGAGTCGTAAAGACAGATCCAGGGACTCCGTGTTGTCTGGCCCCAGCGACTCTAACTTGGGACAGCAAGCCTTGTAGCTGCCTCCACCAGAGGCGGGCGGGGAGGCCCCTGGCCGGGCCTCACAGCAGTACCCACTTCATTTATGGCACATTGAAAAGGCCTGGTGCGTAGGGCCCACTGTCCTGGGCACGGGAGTCAGAGAAGCCCATGCTGGTGACCCCCATGTGAGCTCTGGGCAGAAGAGGCATGTGACATTGACTTTCTCTGGGCCTTCATTTCATCTCCCATAAATCAGACCTAGTTAATTATTACCATCATCATCATCATCAGTAGGTTTAATGAACTCAGACCAAATCCCTGCCAGGGAATCGATGCCCACTCCCAGCGACCCTGTAGGACTGGGTAGAGTTGCCCCCGGAGGCTTCCCAGACTGTCACTCTTTATGCTAGTAGAAAGCCCCATTTTTCTCTGTTCTTGAGGCAGGTGGTTTCAAACTGCTAACCTTGCAGTTAGCAGCCCAACGCTGTGATCAGGGCTCCTCTGAGGAAAATGAGGTCATGTATGTGTAATGCCTAATATTGCCCCTTGCCATGAAATGGGCAGGCACATTCACCCCTCCCCCTGGTTTGAGAGCCCTAGAAAGTTTGTTTTCTTCATTCCCTGGTCCCCAGGGGCTGCCCTGGTCCCCAGGGGCTGCCCACTCAGTGCATTCAGACAAGCCCCTCCACTCGTGGGGTGAGGAACAGGTTGTGGACCCTGTCAAGGAGCTCAAAGGGACCACCAACAAGCTTGCACGGCCAGATCCAAGAGTTGTTCCATGCCCCAGCCCAGTGGGGTTTTGCCAGGTCACTTAGCTGGGAGCCTTCTAGACTGAGGTGATCTGGAGTGGCCCCGGATGTCGAGGGGAGCCTGCCATTCAGCCTTTCCGGGGGTAGCTTTGTAGTCCGGCACCTGTGGCTGGAGTTCAGATGTTACCAGAGGACTGAGATTCCCTTTGTAGCCAGAAGAAAAAGGAAACGCAGAAGCAAGCCTCACCACTGCCTCTCGGGGGGCGGGGGGCCGAGGCACTTGGGGAGAGCCAGGCTGTGGTTGGCCCGAGTGTGAAGTGCTTTCTAAGCTCTCTATTTATTATTTCTTGCTCACCATTAAAATCAAATGTGCTTGGTGCTTTTGTATTCAATACACGTTTAACCCCGCCGACTTAGATTTCTCAGGTTTTAAATCCAGTGGGGAATTGGCTGGTTTCCCAACTTCTCCCTCAAGTCCCCCTTGAACAGAGCTCGAAATCCCCTGGTTGGCATTTTCTCCCCTGGCAGTGGTGGGGACCACTTGATCTCTTGTGTGTGTGTATGTGTTTCCCCCCTCGTGCCCAGCCCCTGCCCTCCCTAAGCACCCCGGAGAGATGGATGCAGTTGCTGAAATATGACGGCCCCGTTGTCGGCAGCGTCCTGTGACTTGGGTTTAATTAAACCATTTTGCCCATGTGTGTCAGAGTCTGGCTGTGGCTGTCCATTGGCGGCAGAGAGAATGAGTGAGTGAGTGAGTGAGTGAG